CTTTTAATGGAATGGAGAAATCGATAGCAAAATATGTTGTGGGTTCTCTGAGTTCTCTTATCACTTTTCTACAAAGTGTTGGTCTACAACATACAGAGTCGGGCAGTTTGCTTGCTTAAAGGTCCAAATCTGTTTATGATTGAGTCTGGGGAAAAGCTGTTTTATCCAAGATGACAAAATGCTGGAAAATTCTGAAGAATGATTTCCATGTATGTGTATATACAGACATTTCATTGAGGAGAAAAGATGCAAACTGTTAATTCGGTTACTATGCATACTCTTATTTTTCCCCTAGTATGTTTCATGATGCTTCTGGGAAAGTCTGCTTGTTGATCCACAATGTAATTAAGAAAGATGCTGGCTGGTACACAGTATCTGCAGTCAATGAGGCAGGAGTGGCAACTTGTCATGCCAGACTGGATGTTGCCAGTAAGTACCATATTTTTTTAAAAAAAAATGTGAGTGTAGACTAATTTCTGTTGTTGGGGTTTTTTTTGAGTAGTTTTATCTAGCTTCACTCTTACATACAAACCTGCTTAGGCAATGCAAGAATAGGGCTAGCACCCTGGAGGTGTGCACTTTAGCTGCCACTCCGTTGAGCAACAGGAGAAAAATGGGGGAGGGCAAAATTGGCATTGGCAACATGTTGACGTGTTCTGAAACAGAAAGTGACATCATGGTATTGCTGATGGCAGTTTTTGAAGTCTTCACCCCCTTTTTGCTCCTGAGGACTGTCAGTCAAAAACAATTTATGCCCCTCAGGTATGAACTAAGTTGCTTCTGAAGTTGCTAAATTATAAAGGGTGGGGAGGTATATGTTTCATTTTTGGCACAATTAACCATAAACCAGAAGACTGCTGACCACAAGCTCACCAGGCAATGGCCTTGCCCACATTCCTCATGCTGAAATCAGTTGGTCTTTAAGGTGCCACTAGATTCTGTTTTTATTTCACATTCCTGAAACATGGGGCCTGTGGCACTTTGGGGAATAGTGCTCAGAAGAACCACCTGTAGCTTCTGAGAAAAACCTAAACCAGTGATACTAAACTGTGGCAAGATTAGGCTGTGTGCAACGGAGACAGTATTGATGCACTAAACATGTGCATGTCTTCCTGGGTGTGAGAGGCAACTACTGCTTAAGTCCGCATGCCTCTCATCTGTACTATACAGCTACTATGCAGTAGCGAGATGAAATGGGCAGTTTCATTTGACTCTCCAGTAGCTGTCTTCCTTTTTATTGAAACTATGATAGGAATGAGTATTGTCATAATTTTCAAATTTTATTTCAGCTCACACATACAAACCAGTTCCACATCCAAAGCAGCTGAGGGTTCGACCAACTTTTAGCAAATACTTGGCACTGAATGGCAAAGGGCTGGATGTGAAACAAGCTTTCCTGCCAGATGAAGGCGAGTTTCAGCGCATGGCAGCACAGTCTGGACTCTATGAGAGTGATGAACTTTAATTGAAAGCAGGGAAGAAGTTCTAGGGCTCCTGCAACAGACACTTGGGTGTGGCACATAGGTGCAAATAAGTGGTGGTTGTGCTGATAGAGAACATATCTAGTACATTTTTAATTTATATTTTGACTCCAGCTCTTTCTTCCTGCTGTTGTGACTTACAAATTTGTGAAAAATCAATCTTGTGTGACTGTAGCAGTGAGAAATAGCAAACATTTTTATTTTTAATTGTAAAGGTCAAGAATCCAGGTCAGTGGAAAAATGCAGAGGTCCTGAAGGCATGTAGACTCAGTCACAAGATTTTTTTTAAAGTGGTTTTTACTTGTACTGCTTTGTTAATATCACATATTACAATTTTCTGCTGGCTGAATACTAAACATAACTTGAGTGTTTTTAATGAAAGTTGTAGATGCAAATAAAGTTTTAAATACAAGATGCAAATTTGCTATTACGCTTAAGGGAAGTATCAGAAAAAGATCATTTTTTATTTTTGGACTTTGACTTGTACTTAAAAGTTTTCCAGAACTGCTCAAGTGTTGCAAAAGGAACTTCACTATACCAAGAAGACTAGAAGTCCAGGCCCTTGCGTACTCAAACTATATCCCAGATCTCTGGTTTGTTGGAAGTTTATTCTCCGTATCTCACCTTTTATAGACGTGATAGAATACCAACCAAGGAGGCTCAGGATATCAACCAAGGATACTCAGAAAACTAATCATAAAGCAGCACATCTCACATTTCACAAAGACAGTCACAGCAGATCATACTTCAAAAGACATTTTTTAAAAAAGATGGAACATGCCAACCCTTGCTAGGATAGGTGTCCACTGGAAGGAAGCTATGAGCCCAAAGACCCTGTTTCTTACATCCACTCAAAGGGGAAGGGAATTTATTTATTTATTTATTATTTGAATTTGTACCCCACCCTCCCTGCCAAGGCAGGCTCAGAGCGGCTGACATCATAAAATTCAGAGACTGTATATGGGAAGAATCTACAGCAGGAACGCAGGGATGGCCTATAACCTGTAAGAAAAAAGAGAACAGCTGTTTCGACATGCAGTGATTCCCTGCTTTGCCCTCACTTGCTGCAAATGCCTCTCTGGGTATCTAGTTGTCCCTGCCATTTCCCCCATGAATATCAGCAGGGTTTTTGCTAAGTTCTTCTAATCAGTAGAAATGCAACACTGTAGTATACTCATTACCAACTTAAAAAGCCTGCCAGTGGTGGTGATACAGGGGGTGGGGGAAGCAAAACTGCCACACAAAAAAAAAAAAAAAGATGCATGGCGAGCATAAAGCAAAATCTCAGTAGTAGTGCACACTACTTCAGTGATCATCACTTGTTTTCCTGTAGTACAAAGTATTTCCACAGCAGTTCTCTTGAAACCTCATTTCTGCACTGATTGCCTTACAGTCAGGACTGTGCGCTATAGCAGAGTGGAAACTAGTGAGAGGCCGTTTACAACTTCGCGACAAGAAAACTAAAAACCTGGGGGGAGAGGAAATGCATTTCATTTTGTGGTGATTCAGAATCCTCAGTCAAGAGATATCTTTGGAATGTTGATCTCCAAATATATTGGAAGAGTGGTGTCATAGAAGTTAGCAAACAACGGTAGTGTTTACAAAAATACAGGGGCTCCAGCATGCCTAGAAGTTGCTATGTGTCCTGGAAATCCTGGCTCTTACATAGAGGAGAAGGCTGTGGGTTCTTTCACTTTGCACATTCTCAGGAGCCAGCATTATCATTATAAACTGTTCTTGCAATGGAGAGAGGTGAACTGCGGGGTCCCACAAGGATCAATATTGGGACAGGTATAATTTAATTTGTTTATAAAGGGTTTGAAATTGGGGGTGAGCAGTGTAGTGATCAAGGCTGCAAATGATAACAAATTATACAGGATGATGAAAACCAAGGCAAATTATGAAGAGGTACAAGAGGATCGCTGGAAACTGGGGGAGTGTGTGACAACATGGAAATGAAGTTCATCATAGGTAAGTGCAAAGTGATGCACATTGGGAACCCCCCCCCCCCCAACTTGGTCTGAGTTAAGAGAAAGGGAGTGGACAGCTCAATCAAAAAGTGTACAGCAGCAGTGAAAACTCCATGTTGGTGTTAATGGGGAAAGTTGGTTGAAAATGGCCAGTATCTTGATGCCCCTGTTCAGATCTATGCTGTGGCCTCATTTTGAAAGAGTGCATATGGTTCTGGTAACCATATCTCAGAAAGGGTATTGCAAAGCTGGAAAAAGTGCAGAAGACGACATTCAAGAATGGAGCAACTCTTGTACAAAGAAAGGCTAAGGAGTGTGGGGTTTACTGTTTAGACAGAAAGGCAAGGGGTTTAGAAAATTATGGGGTGAAGAAAGGGGATAGAAGATGGACAAAATGTACTACTTAATGAGTAAATTTGCTGCCAGTGGGTGTAGTAACAGCCACTAGCATAGATAGCGTCTAAAGGGGATCAGATTCATGGAGAAGTCCATCCATGGCTACTAGCCATGGTGACTAAACAGAACCTCCCTGTTCAGACATAAACCTCTGAATATCAATACTAGAAGACATCATTAGGGGAATGCCTCAGCCTGTATATCCAATTGCTGACCCTGCAGCTGGTTGGCCACCATGTGAAACAAGTTGCTGGACCAGAAGGACCACTGGTCTGATCCAGAAGGGCTTTTCTTACATACTTATGCCTTTTATGTATTTGAGAGCTGAGCTCAGGCTCTAAAATAACACTCTGAAGGTGAGTTCTGGATACAATTCACAACACACTTGTCCTGATGCAAATCCATCTTAGTACTGGAATGTGCATTGCTGAGCTAACTCTGGGCTGTTTAATTTATCCAATGTATATGCATATATGACTGATTCTTCCACACTCCCATTAATACAGTACATAGTTGATCATAATGTAAATCCCACAAAGCACAATTTATACCAATAGATGTCACCCTGAGTTTTTAGTAGAGACAGCAAGTAAGGGGCAAATCCTTGTTTGTACGTATTCTGTTAGTACACAAAACCTAATTTAGGCACATGGGCATCACCCATTTCACAATTCCCTTTTAAGCCGGTTTGAAGCCGTTTTTGATCTGTCGTGGAGTAAACTGGTATAGGGCTGCCGTTTCACACATGGCTTTCCCCTACAGGTGGATCTGAAGCAGTCTGCCATTTCAGACTGCACTGCTTTTTCCTGCAGTTTTTCTCCTGCGTGGGCAATCGCCGGCTTTCTTTTTTTTTAACGTTGGCTTTAAAGTGCTATAACACAACACTCCAGGCATTCCAGTGGGGTTGGTATAACTCTATTGTGTTATAGCGCTATAGCACTCTAAAGCAAACGTTATTTTAAAAAAGCCAAAGATCGCCCAAGAGGGCGAAAATTGGCGGGGAAAAGCTTTTCGGATCCGGGAGAAGAAACTGACAACTACTTGGAAATGGTTTACAGGTAAAATGGTTCAGCCCCGTTTCCTGAATGGGACAGACGTGTTTGTGTGTGAAAGTACAAATATATTCCGGTAGGGAACTGGTTCTAAAACAGTTATGTCTGAAATGTCAGACTGGAACCGGAATATATCACCTGTCTGAAATTCCTCATAGTTTTTGCTAGGAAATTCATGTGAAGTCTAAAATACAAACTTATCAGGGCTAGGCCATAATTATAAGTGGAGAGTACTTTCTCTACAGTTCGGTTACTTTTCTACCATCTCCAGCCGGCCTCAAAGAACCTGAGAGAGCAGAAACAAATGAAGCTGTGTCGTTTACCTTAATAATTGTGTAGGTGATCTCAACAGGTGCGGTCTCCTTCCACCTGGTGAAATTCCGTCATCTATTCAACTATTAACAGGGAAGCAATCCTATGCACTTAAGTCAGCAGCACTTGAAATTTGAGGAAAGATGCTTAGAATTGGGCTGCAAAGGCACAACAATCTCTCCCCTTTAGCATCTAACCCCGCCCCTACCCGGACATGCATTTTATGATTTTTACTCTGCCCTTCCTCCAAGGAGTTCAGGGCAGCGTACACGGTTTTATTTCGCCTTCATTTTATCCTCGCAACAATCCTCTCAGGTAGATTAGCTAGCATAAATTCAACTAGCCAGCTTGACCCCCCCCAAACCTTCCTGAGACTACCACTGCGACTTCTGAGACAACCGCCTTCCCTGCGCTGTCTGTAGCGGGCGGCCCGACCCGGGAAACCACCCCCACCTGCTAGCCGCTAGTCTCCCAGGCCCCGCCCTTCGCCCGGGCGGCGAGTTCGTTAACTGAACACGCTATTGGAATGCGGAGCGCGGAGAGCCGGCGGAGGCGCCACTTGGGCTGGGCCGCTCGTATTATTTCCCTTCCCGTAGCCCGCCATGGATCTACCGAAGACGAAGCCGCCCGCCAGCCAGGACACGAGCTCAGCAGCCGGACTAGAATGGCGGGGAAGCGGTGGGTACGGCTCCGTTGCCGGGCCGCGCCAAGCCCCGCCCCCTCGCCTCCTTTTGGACGGAGCCATGCCGGTGTCTCCCCCCCACACACACACCCCGGCCTTTCGCTTGCCCAGCACTCTTGAGCTCTTTCTCGCCGAAGGCGTCCCACGGCCCCCATTTTCCCCACCGCCCCTGTCGTGTCCTTCTCTATTCTCTGCCATCTGTGGAGTAATGTGAGGCAGATTAAAAATGTTGCCGAAAGGGGCTTTGGCACCACGATCAGGCCCCTAGCCAGGATTTTTAAAATCAGGGGGCATTTAAATTTCTAAGGGTCACTGGCTACTCGAGTTAAAGGAATACCTGGTTCCTTCCCTGCACCTGCTGCTGCTTGGGGGCCCTCGGCTGGATGGGAAGTCGTGGGGCCTTGCCAGTAAGTTAGGGGGCCAAGCCCTGAGATGCCCCGCTGTAGCTACAGGTCTGATCACAATCCTAAACCATTTTTACATCTTTTTGGTGTTTCTGTCTGAAATGTGTATGTAAATGAGATCCAGGTGGGTAGCTGTGTTGGTCTGAAGCAGTAGAACAGAGTTGGAGTCCAGTGGCACCTTGAAGACAAAGTTTTATTCAAGGTATGAGCTTTTGTGTGCACACACACTTTTTCATATACAGTGAACTGAACCTCCATCTCAGTGTATCTGAGGAAGTGTGCATGCACATGAAAGCTCATACCTTGAATAAGACTTTGTTCGTCTTCAGGGTGCCACTGGACTCAAACTATGTAAATGAGAGTGAGAGAGGTGTGTGTCAGAGGCGAACTCAGAACCCATTAGTCACAGCTCTGAGAGCACACGTGTTACCAAGCATATGTTTGCTGCTGTTAGCTGTGTGGGGAACACCCTCAGCCATAAAGGTTGAAAAAGTGCAATGGGGAGTGTCCAAAAGCCATCCACCTTCTCATTAGAATAATAAAAGGACATACTGTTCTCGAACACTCTAAATCAGGGGTCGCCAACCTTTTTGAGTTTGTGGGTACTTTTGGAATTCTGACACGTGGTGGGCACAACCACAGAATGGCAGCCACAGGAGGCAGAGCCAACCATGAAAGTGTGAAGTTATGCATAAATCTAATAGCAACTTTTCACCATTTCAGTCTAAAGCTGTTTTAACAGGATGCCTTTTAAAATGAATAAATTGTTTAAAACTGTTTTCTTGCATGCGCACAGCTTACCTTTAGTCATACAGTAAAGAAGATGCTTGAGCTGTGGTGGCAGGTGCTGTTGAAGCAACTTTTAAAAAATCTGACCAGAGAACGACACTTCCAATGGCCAACTGGAAGCCATGCTGGGCATAAGCCCCCTGGCTTTGCCCACTTTATAAAACACTGGTGGGTGCCATGGTGCCCACAGGTGTTACGTTGAGGACACACACACACCCCGATCTAAATTAACAAGTATTGCCTGGTTGCTTTGCTCATCCTGAAACAATCCAAGGCCTTCCACAATGACTCTACGTCCTTAGCATGTGAACATAAAAACGTGTTTTCCTGGCTTAGATAAAAGGTCCATCTAGCAGAGCAGTCAGCTTCCAAGAGTTGCTAGCCAGAGTTTTATGGGAAGTTAGCAGGTAATGCAGACAGCAGCTTTTGCTTTTTGGTGGGTTTTTTTGCCTCCAGTATTTGACATACAGGGGTATGCTGCTGCTAAAACTAGAAGTTCCACCCACAACATCTAACAACAACTGATACACCTGTCCTCTATGAATTTATCAGATCCTTTGTAAAGCCCTTCTAGTGTCCACCGCTACAGCTCTGAATTCCAGTGTGACCACACTGAATTCCATAAATGTGGTAGAAGCCCTAGTTTACTTGCATTCAGCACAGTCAAGAAACTACTTGATATGTTTTAGGTTATATTGTTCTTTTTCCAATCTACAGATAATTCAAGGTTGCTTTCCCACACACACATACAGCGTGGAAACTCTCTTGCTTGGTTAGGTCTGACCATAGTTACGTCAAGCTTTTAGTTATTAACATTCTCTTTGTGTTGCATTTGAAAATGTGACATATTTACAGGTGTTACGAAACCACGACTGAGCCGTAGCAGAGAACTAGAAATGAAAACTACTCTTCAAGAGCTATTGTTATACATCATTTTCCTTACAGATCTCTGTATATGTAAGTCAGTGAGCAAAGAGGATCATTTGGAATTTATTTTTTTCTGCAAACATTGTTTTATGGAGTATGCAGAACCGTATATCTTCCAAGATGCATATAGAAAACCATCTTTGTTAACTACTAGATATACTCAAGATAGCAGGCTGCCCATAACCTGCTGCACAGAAGCAACTTCCCAGACAGTGTCATCTGGAAAGAGTTTATTAATATTGGTGGGATTGGTAAGGGAGGTGGCGCAAAGAGGTTGTGATGCTGATTAAAGTAGGAGAAGCCTGGCTGCTGAATGGTGATAATGCTGATTCACTGAAGTGGTGCAAGATTCCTGAGTAATTATTAAATTACTAGGAATAAGGCCCGTTGTGGAAACAAATACAACAAACTCTAGAAAGAGGCTCTGGGCAGGTGCCCTGGCCTTGGGCATTCAGCGTCAATTGTGGCAATCTCAGCAGGGTATAATGACACAGAGCTTACCGTTTTCTCCGGGGGAACCAATCTCTGCCATCTGAAGGGCAGTTGTAATTCTGAGTGATTTCCAGCCCTCCCCTGGAGAATGGCAGCAATGGTTCCCCTGGAGGAAATGGCTGGTTTGGAGGGTGGAGTCTGAGGTTCCACCCCTCCTCAAACCCCACCCTGTCCAGGCTCCACCCCTCAAATTTCCAGGAATTTTCTAACCTGGAGTTGGCGACCCTACCTCCTTCCCAGCCAACCATCAACCTACCGTTATCTGCCCCTGATCTCTACCATCTGGAGAGCAGTTTTAATTCTGAGTGATCTCCAGCCCTCACCTGGAAATAGGCAGCAATGGTTCCCCAGGAGGAAAAGTACAGTCTTTCTCTGCAGTGGAGACCAAAGCAGCTTACATCATTCTCCACTCCCCTTTTTGATCTGCACAACAACCCTGTGGGATGGTTAGGCTGAAAGTCTGTGACTGTCTGAAATCACCCACTCAACTTCCACAGCAAGAACCTGGGTCTAGTGGAGCCTGAAGATTGCCGGGTATCACAACTGAACTCCAGACAATGTATCTCTCCCTCCCAGGAGAAAATAACTGCTTTGGAGGGTGGGCTGTATGGCATTCTATTCAGCGGAGGTCTCTTCCCTTCCCAAACTCTGGCTTCCATAGACTCCACAACAAAATATCCTGGAAGTTCCCAACCTGAAGCTGACAACCCTAGTCTGGACTGGCCCCAATGAGTTCCCCACAAAGACCTGGAAAGGTCTTACTGACAGAACCAAGCTTGGTTGCCTAGCAACAGCCACTGTGGGAAAAGTTAGTCCCACAGGAGCCAAGAAGGAGAAGTGTCTTCGTCAGGGGAGACAGCCATTTTGATAGTTTATTCTGTGAGGGAAGAGTGTCTAGGCTGGCAGTGGGCAGGGGAGAGGAGCATTGTTCCCTCTAAGCTGAGTTAGTGTGAGCTAGCTTACAATTTTTTAGCCTCCAGCTCATACATTTTTGTCTTAGCTCAGGAAGGATGGTCCAGAGCAAACTAATGTATGTAGTAGCCAAATCACTTGCTCACAACTTTAATGCCAGCAACTCCCAAAGTAGAATTTTTGCTCACAAGACTTCACAGCTTAGAGGGAGCATTGGAGAGGAGTGGACCCAGCCCCCAGCCAATGGCATGCAAGTACTCTTGAGTGGCGGTTGATGGGCCAATGACTGATGGAGCGCACTGCATAGCCAATGGGAGAGCTGGAAATGGCCAATATGTAAGGGAATTATATATATAGGATTAAATGCATATGTGATTTTGGTTTAACTCACACACATGCAACATAATCCTTTTTTATCCTTTAATCTTGGAAGCCTGTGAAAATGTGGATGAGGTTTCCCTATGTATTACTGACTTGTACTATTGACTTGCAAGAGTTACATGTTGTTAATATAGCTGAAGCAATAATTCCTTATGATATTTGTCCTATTACAAAGTATAGAAAGAATTTCTGTTCTGTATTCCTGTTAATAAACATGTTAGGTATATTGTTTACTAATCCGAACAGCACTCTGCTTTCACTTTGTTGCATCGGATTTTCCTGTTTCTTTTTAGTGACATTTGGAATGGTGAGCACAGATATGTATTACCTAAACAAAGTCATGTCGACTCTCTTTCTGGAAACCCCTTTGTCAGAAGCAGATGACACTGACTTCAAGTCCATTGCAAGTGTTACTGACTTTTGGAAGGTAAAGCTATTATTAACACACACACACCCCGCTTGTTTTAAGGAAACTGAGGGAGAGAGCGCTTTTTAAAACTGTAGCTCCAGAGAATTAAATTAATGATGTTCAGAAGTCCATCAGACGATGTTTGCTCCAACAATTCATGACCCTGACAAAAGTCATATTTGTTTCTTATACAAAAGTTTCTCCAGCATTTGTTTTATTTAATTCATTTATACCCCACCTTTCTTCCTCGATGGGCCCCAAAGTGGCTTACATTCTCCTCTATTTTTATCCTCACTTGAACCCTCTGAGGAAGGCTGCGGGTGTGTGGCTGGCCCACCGTCACTCAGCAAGCTTCAATAGCAAGAGTGGGGATTCAGATCTGTTCTCCCAGATCCTAGTCTGATACTGTAACCCCAACTAGCTGTCTACGTTGACTGTTCCTAACTCAGGTTTCCATGCATGCTCTAGTGATCTGCAGGAACACTGCTGCATATGAGGGTAGCCTTTGTTGAACAGATAGTTGATGCTGTCTCTTTTTGGTGAAGGTGGACCAGAATCAGTTCCCCCACTTCCTGTAGAGGTAGTTGGTCCTTCTCCCACCTCACACCACTGCTGGACTAGGAAGCCTCACACCTGATGGCTGGCATATATGGTTTTTCTGATTCATCTGTGTTCTATTACTAGGCTATTTCAAACTGATCAGTTCAGTTCATTTATTTAATGATCCAAGATCAGAATTAAAACAAATATACAATATACCCATTAGTTACATCCAGACATGCACAGTTAAAACAAGCAAATGTTAAATAAACAGACTTAAGATTTGTAAAATATTTTAAGATTGATTTAGGGTAAGTTAAAAATCTTGCCACCTAGGCAGTAATTTTTTTTACACCAATCTGCTAGGAGAAGAGCAGAATAAAATTGGTTTGTTCTACCCAGATATGGTGCTATAATTGGGGCAAGGTATTTTCCCCAAATCTTTTGGTAGATATGGCAATATAGAAAGACATGCTCAATTGTCTCTGTCAAACCTGACTGGCATGGACTGATCTATAAGGATAAGCTGTATCCTGATTTAAAATCCCAAATAGCTTGATCACAAGGAAAGGACCTAGGGAAAACATATCCAGGAGTAAAAATTAGGAACTGGACCTTTTAATAATGTGGGCAGGCTGACTGTGAAATATATTATTTATTCAATGTTTCCACTCTTGTCACCACCATTTACTTTGTCCTGGTTGCCCAGAGAATTTAATTACTGTACTTTACCTTGGTACACTTAGCTTGTACTTCACACTCAGTTTATACTTGTACTATTTAATATTTATATATTATAATCTTCTACAAATGTTCCCAGCACTTCATGTAGGCTATTTCAGTCATTTTTTACAACAACCCTATAAGGGGAGCCTTACTCTAAGGATGCAGTTTGGATACTGTCAAATAAGGCAAGTATTTTTCAGTGGCCTTCACCTGGGTCCTGATGCATGAGATGCCTCTGGAGTCACTGAAGCTCCTCTGCAAAGGAAGATGAAGTTAAAAATAACCATGAATGGATTATTTCTACATGGCCTTTAACAGCTTAGCTTTTGCTGCAGTTAACAAAGAAAAGACGTAGATCACAACTAAAACCTCCCATGCACATGCAAGGACTCTGATTTGCATGCGTGAAAGCTCAACTTTAATGTATTTCTGGATAAGGTTTTTAATTGGATGTTGAGAGCCACCTTGGAGAGTGTAAATAATAAATGAACATAAAGCTCCAAATATACAGGGCTTGCCCACAGTCTCCGTGTTCTTACTTTGCCAAGTGAAAGCCACTGATTTTGATGTGGTTGTCTAGATGACTTACATAAAGCACAAAAAAAAAGTGCCTTTGTGCCTGCTGTGTGACCCACTATATTATAACGGTAGAAATTTGAACCATTTAAAACTCTAAGAAAAATGTTTCAAAGGGTTTGCTATGTTAAATATAACACTCATTTCCTCTTATGTCATGTAATACAGTATGTAGAAGGACCTCTTCTGGATGGCCTTTATTGGGACACATTTTACCCTAGTAGTACTACACCTATTCACCCTGGTAGTTCTACGAGTCATATCTACTACGAGAACTTACTGTTAGGAGTAGCTCAAGTTCGGCAGTTAAAAATCCGTAACGACACATGTTCTATCTATCCCTCTTTCCGAGCATTTATGAAAGAGTGCTATGGTCCATACCGCTATACATCAGAGGATAAAGAACCCTTTGGCCTTAAGAATGATACTGAGTGAGTATTGTAACATTTCACGTTCATGAGGGTTCTTTTTGGATTTGAACACATTTTGAACATAGTTTAGGGAAAGTGAGATTAACAGTGGAATTTGCATTTGTTGGAAAGGACTGGAAAACCCCATTGTTAATACTTTTGCTCTGTTCATGGAAAAGTCTAAAAGGCTTTTACAAGGACCGAAATGCAAAAAGGATTGGGGAGAGGAGAGTAGTGTGTCTAATCTCCATACTCACCAAAATATCTATCTGCCTGCAGTGGTTAAATTGTCGGACTAAGATCCTGGAGAACCACATTTGGATCCACATTCTGCCACAGAAACTCACAGGGTGACCTTGGCCCAGTCACATAGTTGTCCTTAGGCTAAAAACTGAGGGGCTGCAGATGATGAAAAGAAGGGAGACAACTAGAGTGATGGTGGAGAAAGACTGAGGGTGAATCTGACAAGGCATTTGGTAGAGCTCATTTGAAAGCCTGTTCTGTGGTGCTGATGGTGGCAAAGAAGTAATATTTTCTGTCACTACTGCACCCACACAGGGGAGACCTGCAGAAGCCTTCTAGTGATCAGGGACCTATTAGGTTCTGGCCGAAGAAGGTGGATACCTCTACAGCCTGATGTGATCATTTTCTAAACATTTTGCAAATAAAATCTCTTGCATCTGTTCTGACTTGGACTCTACATTAGAAGCAACAGACTCCGATGGTACCAGGGTGCCAGTTTGTCTAGTTGTGTAGGATACTTTTCAGCCTGTGCAGTCTGAGGATATGGACAGGATTCATGGAAGCTTGAGATCTACAACCTGTTTGTGCAACCCTCGCCCTTCCTGGCTGCTTAAATCTGGGGGTGGGGTGGGGGCTAGTGGACTGGGTCTGGGACCCACTGAATGCCTCCTTGACAGATGGAATGGTTGCTCCTGCCTTGAAATGGGCAGTGGTGTATCCAGTCCTAAAAAACCTATTCTGGACCCAAGACAGTTGAATAACTACCATCCAGTCTTAAATATACCATTCTTGAGCAAGGTGATTAAACGAGCAGTGGCTGGCCACCTTCAGAGATTCCTGAATTCATTGGATTGTTTGGATCCATTCCAATCTGGTTTCGAGTTTGGTTATGGGATTGAAACAGCCTTGGTCACCCTGGCGGATGACATGCGCTGGGACATGACGGGGAGTGCCACCATGTTAATTCTCCTGGGCCTCTTGGCAGTTGATACCATTGATCATGGTATCCTTTTGGTTTGCCTTTTAGGACTGGGACTGGGAGGCATTGTTCTGCAGTGGTTCCAGTCCTGCCTTGAGGGTAGATTTCAGAGTGTGGTGCTGGAAGGACTGCAATCTTACTTTTGATCTAGTGGGCTTCTCAGTATAGAGTTCACTTTCTCCAATATATTTGCTTTTGTTCTCCATGATCACCTTTAAAACCACCTGGGCCAAGGAAAGGACTGGAAACATCTTATGCTGCATTATTGCTAAAGCTGAGGAGGTACGGAGCTAGTCAGGGTTTTGGATCGCTCAGACCACCAAGCGAAAGGAAGGGAATTCACATTTGCCAAACGTACCTTATAACAATCATTTGTAAAATTGTTTTGGCACTTACTTGTCACCTGCTTTAGGCATATGAGGGCTGTGGTGGCTCAGTGGTTAAGATGCTTAGCTGCAGACCAGAAGGTCAGTAGCTCGGCAGTTCAAGACCCAAGTGCTGCATGACGGAGTGAGCTCCCAACTCTGGTTCCAGCTCCTGCCAACCTAGCAGTTCGAAAGCAAGAATTTGCAAGTAGATAAATAGGTATCACTGCGGTGGAAAGGTAACAGCGTTCCGTGCACCTTGGCGTTTAGTCATGCTGGCCACATGACCATGGAAATGTCTTCGGACAGCGCTGGCTCTTCAGCTTGGAAACGGAGATGAGCACCGCCCCCTAGAGTCAGATTCGACTGACTTTTGAGCAAGGGAAACCTTTAGGCATATGAACAGAAAAGTGGGTATATATGAATTAAACTTAAAGAGTACGTTCCTTCCCCATGCTGCTGTATGAGCCGTGGTCCATTTCTCCCCTTCCCTACTCTGTGCATGCCTGGGAAATGTAATCAGGCTGTGCAGTGAACCATTATGGAGAATCTGTGCATACCTCTCATATTGTCCATGCCACGTCCAGTCTTCCCCCTGTATTCTGTCTAGTTATATGATCTGATGTAGGAGAGATTAACAGATCTCTAGTACCCTGCCTGAACTGCTCTGGCGCACTCTTTGTGTTCACACCTATATGCTGGGACCAAGAAAGTGAAGGAGAAAAGACTCTGTTGAGCTCCATTGGGATCACTCTGTGACTAGGCACTAGCACCCATTTAGAGAAAGGTCATACTTGTGTGTGCTACTGAATGCCATTCTGAGAAGTGGAGTAATCCCCATGTCCTTTAAGAGGAATTTAGGCTACAATTACAATTAAGTACCCCATTCCTTTCTCTCCAACAGGTGGCGGTATTCTATTGCTAAGTCACTATCCTTGTGGCATTGGGGACGTATTGGTCTATACAGTAATGGAGGATTTACATTCACCTTGCCTAAGTCAAAGAATGCAAGTATAGACAAGCTCAGCTATCTCAAGGAGCATGGTTGGCTCACCAGAGGGACAAGAGTTGTCTTCATTGACTTTTCAATGTATAATGCCAATGTAAACCTCTTCTGTATAGTCAGGTGAGCTTTTATACCCATTGGTCTTGAGAGTCTGTTTTTAACAGGAAGATACTTGGTTACCTTTTGTCCTTTCTGGAATCAGTATTTCGAGAATAGTAAAATTGATACCCACTTTATTCAGTAGCCACAATTAAACTTCTTTCTTGTACTATACACTTGTGTCCATATTTCATGGGAAATTCATCATTATTAAAATTGTCCTATTACTGCTATCCATCATCATTATCATCATCTAGCTCAGGAAAAATATATAATCCAGATTATGATAATTGCATTAGACGCTAAAATATGCAAATACCTATCACTTCCAGATTAGACTACTGTAATACAGTCTTCAGGGGGTTGCCTCTAAAGACTGGAAGCTTCAAATGGTACAATATGCAGTAGAAAGCTACTGACTTGTGTTAGTCATAGAAAACTTCACTGGTTGCCAGTTTGTTTCCAGGCACAATTTAAAATGCTAGTGCTTATCTGTAAAGCCTTTGAATAGGATGGGACCCAGGTATTTTAAGGAACACCATGTCCTGCATGAATCTGCACAACAGATAAGATGAGGATGGATCAAAGGCTCAGATCTGCATTTTCAGAAGTTAGGTGATGGGTGGCTAGAGAAATGGCGTTTTCAGCAAAGCATCTTGGCAGTGAAGTGTCTTCTGAACAGAGGTACAATGTAAATCAAGTACCAAATGAAAACCTTTTTATTTGACCAGGTGTTATGAAAATTATTTTGTCAAATTGTGCTTTTTTAATGCCTCAAGAGGTTTAATTATCTCTTCAGAATTTTCTTTATATTTGTATTTTGTTGGTTGTAATTTTGTGTGCTCATTCATTTGAGCATTTTAGGAGAATGTAGCTAATATGTCCTGTCAATAAATAAAATAAAATAAATAAAAACTAGACTGGGGGGGGAAATCCTTCATATTATCTACTGGTAATAACAAGGCAGGACTGCTGAGATTAGGGTAGGTCACCTTCATGGTTTTGAATGCATTTGTATGCATTTCATAATGCATTTTTAAAATATGGGATGCCCAGATGCTATTGCTTTCCTTTGCAGGCTGGTTCTGGAATTTCCTGCAACAGGTGGAATACTCCCTTCCTGGCAGTTCTATTCAGTAAAGCTTCTCAGATATGTCACTTACTATGATTATTTCTTGGCCTCATGTGAAGTCATCTTTTGCCTCTTCATCTTAAATTTCATCATTCAAGAATGTCTAAAAATAAAAACACTAAAAAAAGAATATGTTAAAAATGCCTGGAACTGGCTGGATGTGTTATTGATCCTGGTAAGTCTCAGCAATATGTGATTTTGAAAATAGCTGCAAGAAAAGGTAATTATGATATCATATTGGAAAGGCAAGCAAAGAGGAGGATATTTATAGTCAACATGCTGTTGGAGAGTGAGTATGCTGGGGAAGGGGCCAGATTTATGAAGGACAGGAGAATAAGTGGGCCTTTTGGTAGGCCAGGAAAGTAATTAAAGAAATCTTAGGATTTGTTTCATTGTTGTATCTCTCATATTGAAGCCCAAAATTTTGTTTTATATGGCTTAAGGGGATACATGGAGAACACTGTAAAGTCTGATTTAGTAATATAATAATGTAAAGGCAACAATAAAAACCTCTTGCCTTGGAAGTACTCCATATACTACTGAAATGATGATGTTGAATCCAAAATAGCTCAAGTGGAATTTTGGGCTTTTCAGTCTCATCCTTCCCACCGGGGAGTCTTGCAGCCTGCCTCTCCCCACCCTAAAAAAAAATGGTTTACCTGTGTTTGTATGAATGTGGGGGAAGGACTTGTAACTAGGGATGAGCACAAACCCACAAATGAACCCCAGTTCGAGCATAAACCAGGCCAGTTTGTTGTTTGCAGACCAGGGGTTCAGGAGAAGGTGTCTCCCAGGATCCGCCCATGAACCTCCATGGATTTAAATGCCTTTGGGGCTTACTTCCAGGTCTGGCAGCCCATCCAGAAGTGAGCTCTGAAGGCATTTAAATACTGCCAGAGCTCACCATCTGCCCACGGCCCCACCTGAGTGAGCTCTGAAGGTTGGACCAGCCGATTGAGCTCCGAAAGTAAGCTCTGAAGGCTTTTATAGGCCTTCGGAGCCCTCTTCCAGGCGGGGCCTACCCCATATTAGGGCCTGCCCATATAAGAGCATATAAGGCCTATAAAAGCCTCCAGAACTCACTCTGGGAGCTAAGCAGAGCTCACTTCTGGGTTGGCCAAACTCCCCAAACCACAAACCACTTCGTGCAATGGAGGAGTTTGTTGGGGGTTTGTGGTTTGGGGTTCGTGAAAACCATGAACCACGAAGTCCAACAAGCCTCCGTTTTTCTGGTTCACCCCTACTTGTACCTGGAGGAGAGAGTTGGGAGAAATCAGAACTTTGCCTCCCCCACCCCCAAAAAAGCAAAAGTGCATGCTGTTTTCTGGATTCTACCCATGGTAAGGAATTTTTAAACATGGTACATTGTATGCTACCAGTGGGAATGCCTTTTCAGAGACTTCTACATGAAAGTCATATAAACCAGCTTTTACATTGTCACCCTTAGGTTACCAAAGCAACAGTTCTGTCTACAGGCCTGGACCTGTCATTGCTTTAACCAAGTGCTACTGAGATATTTAGCACAGTAGACATCTAGGATGGAAGCTGGAACTCTCTGCAAACTGAGTTGTGTTTGCTTCTGGGCTCATGTCCTGTTAATGTGTTAATTCACTTTTCATGTACATTTCAGTTTTTAGTATGATTGCCTTTGGGAATCCTGGCAGTTTATCATACTTTGCAGGCTGTTCTTCCTCTGAGGTGGAGGACATATTGTGGGTAATTCCCATCCATCACTTAGGGAGGCCAGACTGATTTCAGTTACTTCCTGTTTCCTGTAGTTGGAGTCACCCTAGGCTCAGTTCTTTTCCTGCCTCAGAAGGGAGAGAAGCTAGGTATAGGCTCTTTCTGAGTTAACTTACTTTCACTTTTTCCTTCCATCTTGCTGTTCCCTCTCTCTGAAGAAACTTTTTAAAAAATCCTTCTACCTTCCTATATATTATCCTCTCTTCTCCCCCCCCCCCCTTTGGAGGTTGAGCATTGCTGGGCCGGTTGCTCTCTTAACGGGAGGTGATCTCCCAGACCACCGTCCATGGCATCAAGAGAGGATAGCAATGGGCTCCTTGGAGACAAAGAGACCGTGTAGCAAAAAAAGAGGGCTGCGATGGCCGATGCTCAACCAGCAGAGCAGTGCAAGGATGGCATTCCAAAGTGCACAAAACAGCTGCACACCCCTGCAGCATTTACGGAGCCCGTGCCAGCCTCAGCAGCCATTTTGGAGTCCACTGGTCACTCTATGCTTTAAGATGGGAATGGTGAGCAGAGCCTAATCCCACACATGGCGCACCCTGAGACCTATGGTTCAATGGGTTTCATTGAGCTAGGCGTGATTGTGCCGATAATGCTCAAGGGGACGAGGAACATGACGAGTTGCAGAGCGGTAATGTTGGCAATCCCAGTCTGCCCCCTTATTTCCAAATGTGATGGCCTTCTTTATAAGAGCCATGGGGGAGGAAATAGTGCATTTCTGCAGATCAGGGGGCCATGGGGATACCATATCCTCCTCCTCCTCTCCTTGGAGGAGCAAGAACAGAGGCAGTTGGCCCACCAAAGCTGCACAAAAAGGGTCCCCCAAGGAGCACTGCCTATTTGATCCGCCTTCAAGTGAGAGAGATAGCCTCTCACATGTCTCTAGTGAAAGGGAGAAGGGGAATTTCACGTAATGACGATGAATGGGGGAAATGATTGTCTCAGACCAGTCTTTTAGATATTTCAAGGGCAAGGTTTTTCAGTATTTGCTGTCTAAGACCCTATCAGCACTCAATATACAGGGACCCCCAAAGTCAGGGGACAAGAGTGCTAATGCCCAAGGGCAGAAAGATGGCACAGAGCTCATTGATGAGTTCTTTCCTCCAGCTGATTGCTCAGAAAGAGCCTTCCCCTTCCCTGAATTCTGTGTGAGACAGATGAAGGCAGAGTGGGCAAAGCGGATAACAAACAAACCATTTCCAGGGGTTGTTAAAAAGTTGTACCCTTTGATATCATCTGCTTCAGATCTTTTGCAGGTACCTGTGGTTGATGCACCAGCGACTGCCCTGCAGTCCTCTGGGTTGCTCTCTGAAGATGGACATGAGGCCACTTCCATGGCAATCAGTATGCCAGCTGCAGCTTCCACAGTGTCTAAAGCAACCATTGTGTGGATGCATAAATTGATACAGATGTTACCAGGCAGCAACCGCAGACTACTGGAGGGTGCCAATAGGATCTTGAAAGCCATCTCCTATACTGCCGATGCCACACTAGACACCATGGTCTTTGCTTCCAGGGCAATGGCATCAGCAGCCGCCACCAGTCGCATCATCTGACTATAAGAGTTTGGCCTACAGATTATCAATCTAATGCCATCGTCACAGCATACCCATTTCAGGGAGACAAGCTGTTCAGGGATCCACTGGAAACAAACATACAAAGAAAAAAATCTTTGTGGAAACCTGCAACAACAAGAAGGCTCTACCCAAGACTGTACAGCTTGGGGGATAAGACGGCAGCAGGCCCCTCTTCTTTCCGATCATACCATACTCTACCCAGATTTTGGCAAGACAACAGGAGACCCTCATGGGGTGGCAACAAACAGCCCTTTCGTTGTGGAGGCTTCCATAACAGGTTCTCAAGATTCAGTGGCAACAGACTGGACAAAAGGGATCAGGACACCAAAGCCTCAAAGCCATGACTATCCAAATCCACTGGGGGGGGTCTGCTACATTTTAACCAAGCATGGTCCGCCTCCCATCCTGACTTCTGGACGAAGACTTTGTCACAGAAGGGTACAAGATAGAATTTCACTCAATTCAACCTCAGAGTTTCATTGTCTCTCCTATACACAAAAAGCCAATAAAGAGACACAGAACCAGATCTACGACAAATCACTTATTGGACATTCAGGCGCTAGAACTTTCCCTGTAAACAAACGAGACCATCTTCTTCATGGTCCCCCAAAAGAACAGGGATTGGAGGGCTATCCTAGATTTGAAATACTTACACAGATATGTCGAACCCAGACACTTTCGCATGGAGACCCTCAGATCCATTGTGGAATCCTTACAACCTGGGGAGTTCCTCTCCTCCATCAACTTGGCAGAGGCATACATGCACGTTCCAATCTTACACCATTGAAGATTCCTATGTTTCTGTGTGGGGGAGACTCATCTCCAGTTCCGAGCCCTGCCCTTCGGCCTCTCATCAGCTCCATGGGTGTTTACAAAGATCCTGTTTCATCCAGTTGTTATTGAATTGGGCAGAATCCAATCTGACATCGATCAGGGCAGAGTATGGGAAGGGAGTCATCAACACCCAAGCAGATTGGCTGAGCCGCCAGACAGTCCAGGAGGGCGAATGGTCCCTACACAAGAGTTTTTTTGGCTCATAGTGGCGACACTGGGAACTCCATGGTAGACCTATTTGCCTCTCTGCTCAACAACCAACTGGACAGATTTTACATCAGATATTTTCATCCCCAGGCGGAGGCCACGGATGCCCTTCTGTTCCCTTGGCCCGAGGGGCTCTTCTATACGTTTCCTCCCCTTCCTGTACTTCCCAGGCTTCTCCGGAGGATAAGAGTTCTAAGGGCAGAGATCATAGTAGTGGCATCATACTGGCATCGTCATTCTTGGTTCACGTCACTACAGGAGATGGTAGTTACTCCTCCTCTAACCATTCCAGTCTCAGAAGACATGCTGCTTCAAGGTTCAATTTGGCATCCCAGGCCAGGGTGGTTCTGCTTAACCGCGTGATTGAAAGGGACAAGCTATCAAAACTAGGCTACAAAGAGCCAGTCATTGATACAATCATGGCCTCTAGAAGGCTGTCTACCTCAAGGATCTACAATATTACTTGGAAGGCCTTTGTCTGATGGGCTCAGCGGAAGAAGTCTGACCCATTGCATCCAGAAATTAGATCACTACTGGAGTTCCTACAGGACGGTCTAGTAAGCGGTCTCAGGGCAGTGTCCCTCAAGAAACAGATGGTGGCCCTGGCTTTGCTCCTGCCCCGGTACAATTGTCTTAACATCTCTCAGCATCCACACATTCGCCATTTCCTCAGAGGGGCATCATTCAAGGATTCTCCACAGAGACATAGGTTTCCAACTTGGAAGCTTAATACTGTTCTCACAGCTCTTACGAAGGAACTTTTTAAGCCAATGTAGCACATTCTGCTCAAATTCCCAAGGATGAAAACTTTGTTCCTGGTAGCCATTACTTCAGCCAGGAGGATTTTGGAACTAGGCACTCTGTCAATTCAGTCGGAGCTGTGTTTTTCACAAAGATAAGGTACTTCTGAGGACAGATTCCACCTTTTTGCCCAAAGGTCAATACTAAGTTTCACAGATCACAAAAGATTTGTTTGCCATCATTTTCTCCAAATTCAACCCATCTGGAGGTAAAAGTTTGACATACACTGGATGTGAGGAGAGCTCTCAAATGCTATATTCTCAGAATGGCCTCTTTCAGATGGACAGAAGCTATGTTCGTTAACATTTCTCCTCTTCACACAGGGAGAAAGATGTCTAACTCTTCCATAAGCAACACTATGAGGTCCTGCATTACTGAAGCCTACAGGAATATGAAGAGTTCCTGCAGGTGTCATGGCCCACTCTCTTCGCAGTGCTGCAACGAATGTGGCCATTGCCAACAGGGCATTGGTGGAGGAAGTCTGCAGGGCTGCTACGTGGCCTTCGTTATCTACATTTATCAGGCATTACAAGATGTGTATGACTCTGCTGATGCAGCATTCGTCCGAATGCAGTCTCTTCTAACTCTTGATGACGACTATCACCCCAAAAATTAGGGACACTGCTCTGGGAGGTCCCACAAGATGTCCTCCACCTCGGAGGGAGAACGACCATTGGTTACTCACGGTGAAGGGTCCTTCTCCTCTGAGGCTTGGAGGACATCTTGGTCCTCCCAGGTGGTCATTTCTTCTATCTACTATGCTGTTCTTTCACACTCTTTAAAATAATAATAATACGTGAGAGAGGGGACTCACCTTTTTCTTCCTGTTCCAATGTTTGTGATTTTGGCTAGACTCTTGTTGTTGATGTTCAAGTTCTCTTTTTTACAGTGGTTAAGTTAGTGTATTGCTTTCAGAGCACCAGAACTGAGCCTAGGGTGACTCCCACTACAGGAAACAGGAAGTAATTGAAATTAGTCCTGCCTCCTTAAGTGATGGATGGTAATCACCCACAAGATGTCCTCCAAGCCTCAGAGAAGGACCTTTCACAGTGAGTAACCAATGGTCGTTCCCATAAGCAGGCTAAATCAAAGTGCAAGGCTTGTGTTCAGCATCGCCCAAATAAAAGATGGCATGTATATGATTTAAACTGGGCGCCTTCATAAGCACAGAATCATTTAACATATAGAGCAGATACAGCTAAAGTATCCTCCTTCCCATTGCTCTAGCAAGAAAAAAACAAGATGCCAATTGTAAAGCACCTGAAAAATGGAGTACTTAATTTTTAACCAAAAACAAGATTCTGTGGTAGTATCTTAAGACCAAAAAGAGCATGAATGATTGTGTTCCCTGAAATAAGACTCTCTTTATAAATTTTCTATCTCCCATCAACTTTCGAAACATAAGGCCTGCAGACATGCATGATTTATCTCCCCCACTCTTTTATTGATTAACCTCATTCATATATGAAGAAAATATAAGAAGCATCTAGACTGTAGTAACATTATAAACATTTGTGTGTTTCCCTCCCCCAGTTGTCTGTTTTTGCTATTGCCTTCAATGTTTACCGCACTATGGAAGTCACCAGGTTGATGGAAAATCTGCTCTCCAATTCATTTGCCTATCCAGACTTTTATTTTCTTGCATTCTGGCAGACACGTTACAATAATATGATTTCAGTGAATGTCTTTTTTGCATGGATAAAGGTACTTCTCACTATTTCCAAGCATATTAATGATGTTTCTAGTTTATACTGTGAGGGGAAACTTCAGAGGGTGAGCTTAATGTGGGAAACAGCAATGACCGAGAAACATTTTCAAGGGTGTATAAGGATCTTTTCTGTCTCCTTTATCCAATCATGATTTCTGGCAAGTCTTATTCTGAATGAAGCTCTGGTACACTATTGGGGAGAAGCTCGAGGACAGATGTGGCTTCTTCGATCACTGGAACCTCCATGACAGAGGTTTGGATTGATTGTACACCCCACATTCTGAATGACTGGGGTTTAAAGGTAAAATTTCTCTTGCTCAAAAGCCAGTCAAATCTGATTCTACGGGGTGGTGCTCATCTCAGTTTCCAAGTTGAAGAGCCAGCTGATGTTTCCATGGTCATGTGGCCGGCATGACTAAACGCCAAGGTACACAGAATGCTGTTACCTTCCCACCAAAGTGGTACCTATTTATCTGCTTGCAATTTCTTGCTTTAAAACTGCTAGGTTGGCAGGAGCTGGGGCCAGAGACAGAAGCTCACTCCGTCACACAGCACTAGGTCTTGAACTGCTGAGCTACTGACCTTCCAGTCTGCAGCTCAGCATCTTAACTTCTGAGCCACCGTGGCCCCTGATTAGGGTTTAGCTATAATTATTCCAATTTTTAAGAAGGGCTAAAGGTCAGATCCCACTAATTATCGTCCAGTTAGCCTCTTGAGTGTTATTAGTAAATTGTATGCCAAACATCTGTTAGAGAAGAAGAAGAGATTGGATTTATACCCTGCCCTTCACTACCCAAAGAAGTCTCAGAGTGGCTTAAAAACTCCTTTCCCTTCCCCTCCCCACAACAGACATCCTGTGAGGTAGGTGGGGCTGAGAGAGCTCTTGACAGAAACTGCTCTTTTTCAAGGACAGCTGTGCCAGAACTACGGCTTGCCCAAGGTTGAAGGACTCACACGAGACACAGGGCGATTTCGCTCTAGAGCTGTCTCGCGGCACAGCCGCCGTTTGCCCCGACACAAACATGTCAATTTCACACCCGAAGCTGCGGGGCTGGGATCACGAAACTGCGGAGGAAATTGGGCGAAGCCGCAGGTCAAATGCAGCCCGGGGTGTGAAATTGACAAATAGTGTCGGGGCAAACGGTGGCTGCGTCGCGAGGCCGCTCTAGTGTGAAATCACCCACGATCTTTGAGGGTAGAAGCACCGGTCTGCCCTTTGAGGAGTTTATTTTATACACTCTGCTCTCAACTTAAGATGAAGCTGGGGTTTACACAATACGTGAAACAAAGGAGAACCAGATGCTCAGGCAGAAGGCCTGGAATGTTTGCATAGCATAATTACCAGTGATAACAAGCTACTCCTGGCACCTAAGATGCCTGCATGGACAAGATGGGCAAAGGTCAGAATTAGTGATCAAGTCACTGATCTGCCTTATGTTAACAGAGGCAGGATGTAGTGGGATCAAGATTGGTGTGCCATATCGTTAATCCTCCCTACACAAGGTCATCCAGCCAGATGCAAGTGGAGGAGTGGAGAATCAAACCCAGTTCTCCCAGATTAGAGTCAGTGCACTTAACTGGTTTGGCTTGAGGTGGAAAATATTCTATCAGATGAACAGGCAGCTTTCGGAACTGGATGCCCAACAATTGATCAGGGCTTAATTCTACACCACCTTATAGGTAAATATGGTCACTCAAGAAGAGGAGCTCTATTCATGGCTTATATTGATTTTAGATCAACTTTTGACCTTATACCTAGAGATGGATTATGGGTAAAATTACAGAATACATCTGTTGATCAACATTTGTTGTTATTGATACAACGGCTTTACTCAGACACCAGATTGAAGGTAATTTGTATCTGTGGAGGGCATTTGACTAATTCTGTTCGTACATTTAGAGGTGTTAAGCAGAATGTATTTTAGCCTCTATATTATTTAATTTCTATATTAACAAGTTAGTTGAGACCCTTGAAGAGCCTATATAACATCCTCCTAAGTTGGCATTGTTGTCAGCTATGCTGCCATGATGGGGGGGGGGCTTAATTCTCTTCCTCTTTGGGCCAGATGTTGCTTCTTTATACTTTTGCTTCTGTACTGCTTGCTTATCAGACCTTGCAGGTTGCAGGTGTAGTGTCTGGGATGCCTGGAACCGTGGGAGCGCTTTTGGTTCCTAGCTGCGGCCTCTAACGGCCTGGGGACCCTTCTCCCGCGTGCGGGAGCCTGGCTAATTGGCTTATGGGAAATTATCCCATTATGCTTGTAGGACTGTTGCCATTTTTAACAGTGACTATGTTAATGCCTCTATAGCTCTGCAATAAAGTATAACCTTTCTGATAAGCGGGTACTCTGTTGTTGGCTGTGGAACCTGACATTTGTGTTCTCTTACAACTCTTCTATATGCAGGTGACGTAGTGCTATTGTCTTTAACTCTTATAGGTTTAAAACAATTATTGAGAGCATTAGCAGATTTCTGTGATAAAGATGGTTTAACAATCAATTTTATTAAGTCCAAAGTTCTTATTTTCTACAGACAGAAAAATAGTTGTAAATGGTAAATTAAAGGAAATAGCATTGATCAGGTTAAGTGTTATATATATTTAGGGGGTAGCTTTTCATGCTTTCTGGTACCTGGCATGCCAAATTAACATGTATCAAAGCTAGTGCCCAAAGGAGTTTAACAGCATTGAATGAATGAATGAATGAATGAATGAATGAATGAATGAATGATGTTTATTTGCGGTCAAAGACCATTTATCAAAATATTACATGTTCATTAAATACTCGAACTGTATTTGAAATGTGGATTTGTATGTATTGTATAAACAAGAAAATCTAATTTAAAAAAGCAAATTAGCTTTCAGCTCTAAAAATAAACATATAACCTTAAAATCATTAAAATGTTAAAAGGAGAAAAGTTTAACGGTGATTATATCAAAATAATTATAAGAGGTTTAAAACTAAACTACTTATGAGTCATGCAAAGGTAAATGAGGATTCTACTTGATTTGCTTCTTATTGTGAAATTTTACCAGAAGGGAAATATAATTAACAACATTGTTGAGGTTTCTCTATACAAAGGGAGGGCAATATATTCCTTCTGCAATTAAAGGTTTTGTAGCTAAGGTAGTTAACGGAATGTTATTTGAATCGCAGTTTTCATAGAATCATAGAGTTGGAAGGGACCTCTAGGGTCATGTAGTCCAACCCCCTGCACAATGCAGGAAATTCACAAATACCTCCCCCCCACATCCACAGTGATCCCTACTCTATGCCCAGAAGATGAAAAAAAAAATCCCTCCAGGATCCCTGGCCAAACTGGCCTGGAGAAAATTACTTTCTGACGCCAAAGTGGCGATCGACATCTCCCTGGGCATATAAGAAAGGGCCACAAGAACTAAGCACTGATGCAACCCTTCCTGCCCTCCCTCTCATGATCTACCTAAGTTCACAGAATCAGCATTGCTGTCAGATGGCCATCTAACTTCTATTTAAAAACCTCCAAAGAAGGAGAGCCCACCACCTCCCATGGAAGCCTGTCCTACTGAGGAACTGCTGTAACTGTCAGGAAGTTCTTCCTAATGTGTAGCCGAAAACACTTTTGATTTGATTTCAACCCATTGGTTCTGGTCCAACCTTCTGAGGCAACAGAAAACAACTCCACACCATCCACTATATGACAACTTTTCAAGTACCTGAAGATGGTTATCATGCAACTTCTCAGTCATCTTCTCTTCAGGCTAAACATATCGAGCTCCTTCAACCTTTCCACAAAGGACTTGGTCTCCAGATCTCTCACCACCTTTGTTGACCTCCTCTGGACACATTCCAGCATGTCTATAATCTTCTTAAATTGTGGTGGCCAAAACTGAATACAGTACTCTAGGTGAGGTCTAACCAGAGCAGAGTGAAGTGGTACCATCACTTTGTGTGATCTGGACCAAAATGCATTTGCCTTTTTAGCTACTGCATCACACTACTGACTCATGTTCAGTGTATGGTCACCTAAGACCCCTAGACCCCTAATTTTGTTTATATGAAAATTCTAATCCTACCAAAAAAGATAGCGAATATAAGTAACAATTTATCAAGCAAATGTTGGAAATGTAAAAAAATAGAAGGCTCTTTTTACCATATGTGGTGGACATGTGAAAAAGCGAAAAGGTTTTGGACTGAGGTCCATACAGAGATGGAAAAAATAATGAAATGTAAAATTAAGAAGGAACCTGAAGTGTTCCTTTTGGGACTTAAAATGGAGGAAGTTAATATTGCAAAACGGACTTTAATGTGGTATATGATTACAACTGCCAGAATGATATACGCTCAATGTTGGAAGCAAGAAAGAACTCCCGATATCTGGGAATGGTTGAAAAAGTTACTTTTTATGGTTGAGATGGACAAAATGATGAGAAAGCTTAAAAATCAAGAAGCAGAAGATTTTTTTGCAGATTGGAAAGACTTTAAAGACTACTTGGAGAAATACTGGGATGTAAAAAACAATTTATTTTGTTTTGACAATTACTAAGGTTGGATAGACATTTAGATTAAATTTAAACATGCATAGACAGACAGATAAAAAGATACGTTACCTGAAAGAATTATGTTGTTAAAGAATTGGAAAAGGAGAAAAAAATCAAGAATGTAATAGGGGTTTGAGCACTGTGGGAAGTCAGAAGGGGGGGAGATATTTGGATAAAAGGATATGAAAAGTTTGTTATATGACGTAAAATTTTACTTATTATTATATCCTAATAAAATTGGTGTTTTTTTAAAAAAAAGAAAATTCTAATCCTTTGGAATAATACAAACTAAATTTTTAAGAACTATACTGACTCTACTATACTATGTGCCAAATTCTGCCATATGTTTAGAAGCTGACCTGATTACTATTGAAACTAAAATATGGCTCTCTTTGTTTAGGTATTGGCTGAAATTAATTTATTTTCTGGTAGGCTTGGCCCCATTAATATTGACTGACAATTATCAATCGAGGTGGAAACATCTCCTGAATCTGAAGTTACAGAAAATGGGGCTTTCTCCTAGGGATTCAATACATTTAGAATATACAAAAGCCTCACCTGTGATCAGCCAAAGAATTCACGATAAGAGAGCTACAAATAGCATCTGACCATACAGGCTAGGAGATACTATTATATAGAGTATAAGCAGTTTGCACCAGCAGACTGGAAGGTCTGTAGTTTGGCAGTTCGAGACCCTAGTGCCGCGTGACGGAGTGAGCTCCTGTCTCTGGCCTCAGCTCCTGCCAACCTAGCAGTTCGAAAGCAAGAAATTTCAAGTAGATAAATAGGTACCGCTGCAGTGGGAAGATAACAGTGTTCCGTGCACCTCGGCATTTAGTCACGCTGGCCACATGACCACAGAGAAGTCTTCGGACAGCATTGGCTCTTTGGCTTGGAAATAGAGATGAGTACCGCCCCCTAGAGTCAGATTTGACTGGCTTTTGAGCAAGGGAAGCCTTTATCTTTACCTTTTTATAGCTTTGAAAACAAGATTGGCTTTTTCTCAGGCATGATTTAACGTTCTCCCTTCTGATTTGTTAAACGGGAGATATTTTAATAATTCATATTATGAACAGAATTGCCCTTCCAGTAGTCAAGAAGTGGAAACGATAGGGCACGTTCTTCTGTATTGTCCTCTTTATTAAAATCTTTTCAAAGAGCTGCTTCTTCCTATTCTACGAAAATTTCCAGGAAGAACAGAAAAATCTTATCTTATTGTCCTTCCTAGCAGATAAATACCATCAGATTACGAAGGTAGGTAAATTCTGCTCAATAGCAAAATATATCAATTCTTCATTGGGGAAGTAGTTACGTTACTGCATTCTATTAAACTATGCTAATTTTACATATAGGGTTTTATTATCTGAAAATGTATATCTGTTTTTCCTTTTACTGATTTTTATGGGATCATGGTTATATAACAGAAATATTGTGAATAGCTTGTTTAACTATACTGGTTGCTGACATAACAATAAATATCTGTCTATCTTATGATACTGTTTGTTATGATACAGGACTTATGATACAGGAATCCTAAAGCTTAGGATCTGAAAATCTCCTCCCAGCCCTTATACCATGCTTCTTAAAGACGAGGTTTTGGATTTGGGACATCCTTTTTCATTATATGTCTCTCTCTAGTGGACTGCTTATGTAAATGTGCACTGTTTTAGAAGCCCTAGTCTTTGTATTGGTGCAGACTGTTGGCACAGCTCCAAGGATGCTTGTACACTATGTGCAATCAGCAACAAGTGGTGAATGAGTGACTCACCCTTCTCCTCTTCTAGGTAAATGTGCAAAGGAAGAACTAGAGTATTGTTCCCCCTCTCCAAGAGATGTGTAAGCCCAAATACATATAACTCACCATAAGGAATATATACAAGTTCTCCTTTTGGTCATGGAAATGAAAGCAGGGTCTTGCAACACACTTGCCCATCTGCTGTTCTTGCCTTGCATAATGTCTTCATTCATGAAATAGAATGAAGCTCATTTTTCTAGCATTTATGACACCTAAATTGAGTGAAGACTCAGCTTTGCCAGTGGGTCTCCTTTTTTGTAAGAACAAAATTGCACCTGTGGGTATAATCTTCTGCTTGTCTATTCGTCTTAGGGCCTGCTATAATGTTCAGTAAATTTCTTCCCATGGAAAAACTCCAGTGATACAGCCATAGAGAAGAACTAGCATCGAATCCAGTGCTGAGAGAAATGTGCTGTCGTGCTCACACAAATCACTGCCATGATGCAGCAACTTATCTGTAAAAATGTTGATAGAATAGCTGTTATGCCTACACATGGCTACTCTTTGACAAAAATCTTTAAGTGTTTAAAAGTTCATGAGTTTTCAGTATACTCCTGAGAATTGCAGCACCTCTTTTCCAAAAAACAAAAACCTGGCTACATCAAGCTGCTAATTAACCAAAAAATCCACCAAATTATATTTTTTACCTTCAAAACTTGATTTAATGTCCAACATTTGGGATTTTGATCTGTTGACAGGAAAGGGAATATTATGGCCAGTGGAGCATTTCTCTGTTCCCCCACTCCTGTACACATTAATTTCTCCTCTGTTACAGTCTTTGAAACCTAGAGCTAGCCAAGCATAACGTCTGCAGCATGTCAGTCTCATACAGATCTTGCCCCAGGGAAGAGGTTGTGTGTGAAATTGGGCTTAATGGTCCATTAAGACCAATATTGCCTACCTTATCTGTCCCAACTAGCACTAGCTCTCTTCTACAGATGCTTTTCACTTCTATCCACTAATACTTCCACTTCAGCCCTGAGTATTTACATAGTTGAATATAATTTTATCCCAAATATTAAGTGAAGAGTATTTTACTTCTGAGTAAACTTGCATAGAATTGTGCTGCAAGTCCCACTGTATTAAATGGGGCTTACTATGAGGTACCTGTTGATCAGTTTCAGAGGTTATTTGTGTTAGTCTGCAATAGATAAACTAGATTTGAGTCTAGTAGCTCCTTATGTGTGTGTAAAGTGCTGAAAAGTCACAGCTGACTTAGGCAACCCCATAGAGTTTTCAAAGCAAGTGATGAAGCAGAGGTGGTTGGTCATTGCCTTCCTCTGCAAAGTCTTCCTTGGTGGTTTCCCATCCAAGTACCGACCCAGCTTAGCATCCAAAATCTGATGAGATCAGCCTATACAATACCATTCCACATCCCCGGTAGCACCTTAGAGACCAACAATATTTTCAGGGTATATACTGTTGAGAGTCAAAGTTACCTGTTGATCACTCAACAGATTACCTGTTGCTCAGTTATTTCTATTGCTGTATAACGGGTTGGATCCAGTGGTGCATGAACCAACAGAAAAATGTACAATTGCACAACAGCAGTAGCAACACAAAACACTTTAATATGATTTTAAACAAAACAAAAGTGTGCATATGGAGCCATGGAATGTAAAGCAGATGGTTCACATGATTTCATTTGGTTTTGAATTTGAAACAATATCAGGAGAAATGCCTTGTGCCATGGCTTCCACCCAGAGAAAAGTTAGTGGGAATGCAGTCACTTCCACTGATTGCAGGCAGACAGCAATGAATAAGTTAAGTGTTTTTTTGCTTATGCAAGTACTGTTGTGCCTGTGGAAATCTTCTGTGGGATCCAACCCAATAGGTGTAGCCCCATCATAATGTAACCTCTTCTGTTCTCTTCTAGATATTTAAGTACATAAGCTTTAACAAGACCATGACTCAGCTGTCTTCCACTCTGTCCCGCTGCGCTAAAGACATCATAGGATTTGCGATCATGTTCTTTATCATCTTCTTTGCGTATGCACAGTTGGGTTACCTGGTTTTTGGGTCGCAAGTGGATGAGTTTTCCACCTTCCAGAATTGCATGTATGGAGCATTCCAAACTGTCTGGTACCATTCTATCATCAGTAGGAGCTGTTTCTCCTAAAGTGGGTTGCCAGAGCAGCATTAGCTATTCGATGATGAGGTCCGTGGGAGATTATAACATGTTGTGGGAGGCCAGAACTATTTTAACTCTTTGATTCTTGTATGTTTTGCAAAAGTGTAAGGGTTGACAGGACATGGCAACATATAAAATAGGAGAACTAAGCAGATCCTGAATGGAGGGAAATTTTATTTATTTAGTTAAAATGTGTGTTTCATTTTTCCAGAAAAAGGTACAATATAATCACTACAATTAATTAAATTGGAACGAACAACAGAAAATTTAGTAACTCAGCATAAACAAAATAAATGGCAACAAATTGTTTTTTAAAACTAACAGCTAGAAACCACTGCAAAACCAACCGGAGCCCACAAACTAAACAAAAGCGGAACAAAATGACATGGTCTTCACCTGACACCTAAATGTCAGCAGTAAATATCCCAGGTTTAGAGAAGAATGTTCCAAAGATGTGACATGACAACTGGGGGGAAAAACCCTATCCTTTTTCAGTTTCCATGTCACTACTGAAGGAAGGGACACCCAAAGAGGGCCTCTGAAAAACACCTAATTGAACTGGAAAGTTCATTCAGAAGGAGACACCACGTGGGATTCTGAAATCCCAGCAATTTACATGATGTGAATCATATTACTCTAAGGGGACAATCCAATCATTTCCCTACCGCCAACTCCCCTTTGGCTCTTTTCCTATATGTTTAAGGGGTACAGCCTTTTTGGCAGGGCCTCAATTTTGGAATTTTGTCCAAAGCAGTTTGTCTGGCACCTAAGTTTTAGGAGCCAAATAGAAACTGATTTTCCCTATGCATTTGGCAAAGTATTTTTACTCTGAATGCTTGTCTTCACATCCACCAATGTACCTCCTTACATTTCTGTTGGATTCAGCCAGCTTTTTCATTCAATCACACCCGGTTCTCCTCCTTACTGTAGTCCCCATCCCACATGGCTTTTGTATATGCAGGTTCCATGATTCCCAATATAGCCCTTTTTGGCGGTCAACAGGGATCACCCCTTTTTCATCAACAGAAAAGTGGTTCCAACCTATTAACTACCCCTGACACACACATTTTGAGCTTTTCCACCTTCCTTCTCCCAGCAGGCTTCCCTGTGTTTTTAGAAATTTCTCCCGTCTGTCCCTGGCCTCATTGTGTAGGTTTTTTGATCCGCACTCTGGAGCCTGGTTTAGAATTAAATTTAATGATAATGTAATACAATCTACATTTTAAAAAAACACTGTATAGTGACCTATTCTATGTTACTTCTTTCCCACTAGTTTTACCCAGTTTCGCATTGTGCTTGGAGATTTTAACTTTGCCAGTATAGAACAAGCAAACCGGATCCTTGGACCCATTTACTTCATTACATTTGTATTCTTTGTGTTCTTCGTATTGCTGGTAAGTGGTGTTTTAGATAATACAAAACATAAAAATAAAAGTTTCGGGCCTCTAAATTTGAGCTGGCTGAAAAATAAAAGTATATATCAAAGAAGTTAATGTTTCATTATGTCTGTGTTTTAGTTTATATTTTGGCAACAAAATGTTTGTTGTGGCCCCTAATTTTTCTGTGAAATGTAGTATTTGCTTAAGTGAGTAAGGAAACCTATGCAGACCAGAGCTCTGTTGGTGCATGGGAACCAAAGCTGTAGTTCAGGGACATTAAAATTACCACTTCAATCCATTTTGGAGGCCACATGGGCCACGTTTATGTGCATATATCCCCATCTGCATGAGGAAGTATTAATTCAGACAAGCGTTGCTAAGTGTTTCCTAGTCCAGTCTAGCAGCACTTTCATAATGCCAGTCAGAAAGTAAGCTATATTGTCAGGGAGAGTGCTGGATTAGGTTCATTTGGGGCTTCCTCCTCCTGCCTTTGCAGCTGATCACCACTGTAACATGACCAGGTACTGTACTGTACTGTAACATGACCAAGTACTGCATGTGTGTATAGCTGGATTGTGTGTAATTTTTTCCCCTTTGTGTTCTTCCATCATGTAGGATATACATTACAGTCCTGCTAGATTTGATAATCTGACACTTGAGTTCTAAAAATTTACCTTCATCAAATCATGAACACTGGCATTTGTTTTTATGCCAGAGTTATGCCACCAGCATTATGTCCCCATCTGCTAGAATTCCTTGAGAGAGAGAGATTTATGCAAAGTCAGACATCATCACCTGCAGCAATGAACTGATTCTGCTGTTGAAGCACCCAGGGCTGGCTTTCATTTCTGCAGTCCCCACAGTGCTAAGCTTAGTAATGATTTGTTAATGAGTCAGGGAAAAACGAGAAGATTTCAGGAATCAGGGATGTAACAAGGAGAGGAAAAAGAAATAGAAAGTAGAATGCAAGTATTCTGTTTGGAAAGCCAAGTTAATATGAGACAGGTGTTCATCATAACTATTTAGCTACTTCCTCTGGTTCAGAAGGTGAAATCATAAGGCCTGGGAGAGGGTGGCTGTGGTACAAATGAAGTTTCTAATACTTTGTTTTTATTATGTAACCCTTCCAAGAAGAGCCTTGATATCTTCAGTGAGATGGCAGAGAAAATGCAAAAAGTTATTTCTGTAAAAGCAGACATTAGTGGAAAACAAGAGGGGGACCCGCGATACTCGCGGGGGGGGAGAAGAGCTCCATCTCCTCCACACACCCCCGCTCGATCTCCCCGAGGCGGCGGCGGCGAGGCCGGCTCCCCCCCTCCACCCGGCTCCGTTGCGGCATCGGCGGTGGCGAGGCCGGTCCTCCCCCCCTCCCTGGCTCTGAGGCGGCGGCGGTGAGCCGGGGGACCCCCCTTTGCACTTTCCCTTCT